CACAGCACAGCACAGCACAGCACAGCACAGCACAGCACAGCACGGCACGGCACGGCACGGCACGGAATAGCGCCATAATTCAATATACCTTTAGGGGGACCACAAATAACCCCTGCGTCTCCATGCTTATTGTAATAAGAGCTTCGTCCCAAGACAAGAAAACTGCAATCAAAAAGAGACGTTTCGTTCTTTTTACATCCATCGATCTGGATCCATGTGTATCCCGATGGTCTTTTGTAATACACCATCGATAAGTCAGGAGCGGCTGTTGCATTCGGTAGGCCCAACATCCGACAGACAACGTTCGCTGACTGTACGGTCCATCCACTACTATATGCCACTTTACCCCATGTTCCATTCATAGACACTTCTACTCGGCCCATGTTCAAAGTATTGGTATTCTGGACTCTGACTGTCACTGAAATCAAAAATGTATGAATGACGTTAATAGTGATATACTGTAAATTTATACAGATAACGGTATTTTTAGGAGCAGGCAGGCAGGCAGGCAGGCAGGCAGGCAGGCAGGCAGGCAGGCAGGCAGGCAGGCAAGGAATAAATGGATGGACGAATGGGTGGTAAAAACGGAAGCCATAAGTGTAAAAAAGACAAAATTGGTAAAGAATAAAATAAATGATCGAACGAAACAATCAATATCTGATAACACACTTTACTTACTATTAGGCCGTCCACACATCACAGCTGCCGTTGTATACCACGAACAGTAAACAGTATACATTTTCGTAAACCCATAATTCCGGCATTTCAAGAGCGACTCCTCGTTCCCCACGCACCAAACATTAAAATACCAGCACCCTTTGGACGAGGGTACATGTTCGTTCCTATAGTCCAGGTAGGCGTAGGCATTACTAAGACCAAGCATTCTGCAGATGACATTAGCTTCTTTCATCGTTCTTTGGTAGATCATGAGATAGCCTGGCCTGCCGTCGTACTGGACCTCAAGTCGTCCGGCATTTAAACCATTGGCGTTTCGTTCTAAATTAAACCCGACTATGCACGAGAAAAAAGTGTCCATTACAAACCTACTGACTCTCATTCTTATTTACTCTACTCGTCTTCTCATCCTAAGCACACTCTTAACGCTATTCCGTTCTCGCAATTTCTTCGTCTTCGTCGTTTGTGTAGTGATGATCTTTATTTTTGTGTTAAATGTTCTGAGATGCGTTCCTTCTTCCTTAAGCGTAATTATCCTGCTCATGTTATTGATCGCGCCATTCGTAAAGTTTCTACTATTGATCGTACCACCGCTCTCACTCCTCACACTCGCCCCTCTAATGACCGCATTCCTTTCACTCTTACGTATCATCCTATTAACATTTCCATTAAACCCATTGTTAACCGCAACTTTTCTCTGCTTGACTCTGATACTCGCACTTCTGCTATTTTCAACAACCGCCCTCTCTTTTCCTATAAACGGGATCGTAATCTCCGTTCTTTCTTGGTCAAGGGAGTTCTTCCCTCTAACAAAGAACCTGGTACTTTTCGCTGTTCTCGTAAACGTTGTTATACTTGTCCTCACATAGTCTCTCACACTTCTGTTGTCGGTCCTAAATCAACTGTTAAAATCACTGACCATTTTGTTTGTACCACTTCTAATGTTGTATATTGTATTAAATATACCCGCTGTAATCTTTTGTATGTGGGCGAGACTGGCCGCCGTCTTGGTGATCGCATTTGCAATCATCTTTATGATATTCGCAATAACG